CCAGCTTCATCCCATTCCCACAACATTTCATTGAGGCATAATTCACAATTATTTTTTTGCGAATCTTTTAATACAAGAATATAATCAACAGATAAGTTAAATTTACAACCTTTTTTCTTATCTTGATCTATATATCTTACGAGTTTTCCAGAAATAAATGGTCTTAGGGATCGCTCAATTGCTTTCTTATTTTTTGCTTTCTCAATCTCAGGAGGTAATGAAGGACCTTCTATCCGAATTAGCTGGCTCAAATATTTTACGCAACCAACTGCTAAATAAATTAGATTATCTCACGCCAAATGTTCATCGATAACCCAAACTCGTTGTGATGCTTCAAGCGTCATCCCTTGACTAGTATGCACAGTCATAGCATATCCCAAATCTCAATCAAGTATTTTTTCTTCAGTTAATAATGGAGTTAGTGTTAAAGCACATATATCTTTTATAAACTTTTCAGGAAGTGTATTCAATGGTAAATATACTATATCATTTTTTACTAGTTCTTGTTTCTCAGATGAACCAGGAATTGAAATGAGGCAGTTTTGTTTACGTCCATCTCTTGGCCTATATATTAGTGGAACCGGTAGATCTAGATATTTAATACGATGGAGTTCAAGGTATTTTTGTGATACAATTCTTTGAGATAGGTGATGTGCTGATAATATACAATCTGAGGGAGTATATTCCTTTTCGAGACGTTCCTATTTTTCTATAGTTGAGAGAATTTTTCGAAATAATTTTGATTGTATTCGATTATTTTTTCGATGTATAGCTTTTTTAAGTTCACATAACTTAGGACATTTTGCACGATAATCAGTTAAAACTTCTTTGTAATAATCAGCATGCTCTTTTAACCAATTATGTAGCATTTTTCCGAAGAATAGCGGAGGTTGTGCATCGTCACCACAACAAATTACCTGGTATTTATGTTCTAATAAATAATTAATAAACATTTCAAGAATATGCTTAGAAACTGTACATATCTCATCCCAAATAACAACTCATAGAAATTTTTTCTTTTCTATACGTTCAGGTGTCCACTCTCCCACTCCATTCCATCTGAAGAAACTATGCCAGGTTTGAGCTTTTATATCACGTTTTTCTTGAAAATCTTTAGTTAATGTATTTGTATGAGTAAATACAACCATGTTTATATTTTTGAAAATTCGAATTGCATATGTTGTTTTTCCTGAACCACCTCCTCCATTAAGATATGATTTCTGACATCTTGTAATAGGATCATGAATCGAGGGTGCTGTATTTTCAGGAATATTTTTGATCGATTCCCAATGCCTATTCTTTGGCCAGTATACAATATCAGTAACTGGTCCATATATTTTTTCACCTTTGTCACGCCATTGACCGGATTAAATTTCTCGGATTTCTTGTTCTTCTGGTTGATGTGAAAGAGCATAGGAGTCTGGTCTATAAAACTATTCTGCAAAGCAAAATCTGCAAATAAATAGTTTATGTCTTTTACAGTCATATTTTACTAGAGGTGTTTTGGTTTTTTGGAACTTTTTAATCTATTTTGCATATTCAGATTTTGAAATAAAGAATTCTTCTAGATCAGTACACATTGTACAAGAAGAATAGTGTAAATATAAATTTGGATCTGACTTTACCTCAACTTGCTTGAAAAATGCCGGTATATTTTTGATCTTATATAAAGCCTCTTTTCGTATATATATAGAATCTGTAGCAATCCTTACTACTTCATTAAGATCAAATCTCTGAAGCATCTCTAACAAATTAATATGCGCATATGCTAATATTGAGGCCCGCAAATATGTATATTGAGGTTGATATCCCTTGTAATATGTAAGTATAAATCCGAGTAGATATTTGTTTCTTCCGGCAAAAGTTCCAGCATCAGTACAATCTTTGATCAAGAAATCAAGCTCACCTTCATCTGTTACAAGTCGATGAGTAAGGCGTTTTTCATCAATCTTGCCATCTTGTGTAAACTTACCTATAATTGCACAACTAATATCTCGATTTCTAGGTAGCCATACTTTGGTCTGTTTAGTAAGAGAAATTATTGCCTTTCCAATAGTCACACTTTCTAGAATACCAAACTCAAAAAGATATCGTAGAAGTGCAATAGATGCCCATCCTTTTTCTTTCCCACATCCTTCTCCACTTCGACATACAAAATGTTTTCTGTACCAGACGGGAATCGCTGAATATATATTTGATGCAAATTTAAAAGATCTTACCTGCACAAATCTAGTGATATCATCCTCCGGCAATTCTCTATTTACCACAACTCGAACAAAGTAGTGTGTTGGATGTCTGAACCTATTGAACCATAGTGTACATTCTCCTTGACCTTGTATACTTGCTGGATAATATTCTTTCATATCGATACATACGCATCATTGACGTAATAATCGGGTGCATTCTAGCATCCACTATGCCCATGCTCGACACAGGCTTGCCTTATATTTTCATTTACTTTTCCAGATATTGGATGCTATTCATTGATTTCATTAGCAAGTCGGCTTCCAGCATGGTTTGTACCAAATACCTGCTCTGCTAAATCAACAACTTTTAGAGACTCTGAAAGAATCGATTTCTTTTCTTTATTGATTATTCTTTCCTGATATTGCCAATCTATTGTATCATTGACCAGTTGTTTGCATGCTTCTATAATTTCTGTATGCTTTTTCCATGTTCTAAATGTGCGACCATCTTCTAGAACAAACTGGGATATTGTTTGACTCGTATCCCCCACTCTCATAAGCCAGATTGCTTGAGGTCCCCTAAGGGCATTACTGATAGCTTCCTATGTATTACCCTTATAATATTCGACCATTCGATCTCTTGGGAAGTGCTGGTTTCTTGAAAATGCATGGCCATTATGAACTACCATTCCGATTTCTTTATACTTACCTGATTGATACTTTCCACTATTAAATATAGTACCATGAGTTATATCAAGTAATTTAATCAGTCGTTTAAGAATTTTTTCTAACTCTGCTACATCTTGTACTCGAGCATCTGGAATGCGCATTTTTTTCTCCCAATGATTTATTTTTTGCCGACGAATTTCTGTGAGTCCATACCCTCGCTTAGTGTTATCAAAATGCTCTATTACTCATTGAGCTACACAGTTAAATGTTCTATCTTTCATAGGTATTAATCGATTGACATCTGGCTTTCAGATTCGATATAATCTATAGACTACTGCATTACTGTCAAGCTTCCCTACCTCAGATTGCTCACTGACTTCTCTAACCAAAAATTTTTCATCTATTTCTACCCAAAATCTTGGTTTCGATTTCTTTGTAAGTATAACGTTTGGACCACCCCCGACGTATTTTCTACCTGCCTTTTTTGATTCACGAATAGACTCATATTTATCAATAATTTTAAAAGCAATCTTTGTTTGAGATTTATCTCTATATACAGAATCATCTCGAATGAATTTTACCTTTATTAAGAACTTGCCATTATCGATCGCATTTAAAATTTCTTGAGCCCGCTTTTCAGTTATCCCAGCCTTAAATTTTTTTTGATTCTATTTCTTGTTCTACACGTTCTAACCAGGCTTTACTTCCTTTATCTGATGCTCTATAAGCATCTACTGCCAATTTTATGATTCTATTGATTTCTTCTTCTTCTGAATAATTCTGATATAAATATTGTAAATATACCTCCTGCATAGCTTCATCTTCATTTTCTGCTCCTAATATTACACTGGCCAAATCTATCTCTTTAGCTTCTGTAAACCAGGTTGAGAAAGTATATTCGGCTCCATCTACTTTAAACATATTTTTTGCGATCTGAATTCCATTTTGCCATATTACACGATGCTCTTCATTATATGGAAATTGAACTGGCCATGGTACTTCTATATCTAAATCTAGAAATCCTTTTTCGTGAATAGGCAATTCTTAAACAGATTGCAATTCTATATTATCTAATGGTGTGGTTTGTTGAGTTACTATTTCTTCTAATTAAGTAAGTCTACCTTCACGATGAGCTTGGGTACAAGAGCCTGGACCAGCTTCAGGAGAGGCATAGCCTCGAGTCTCTGACTCATTAATTTTTGGCTGTACTATTGGAGATGTTTCACGCTGAAGATTTGCTTCCTCGATTTCAGGTTTATCAAAAAATTCTTGCTCTTCATGCTTTTCTTCTTCTGTTGCAGGTCGGAAATATGCATTTGGATCCAGTTGCAATAATTCATCATAAAGAGCTTTGGTTTTGGCCAAAATTTTTGGCTGACCACGATCCTTGTCACCTAATTCTTTGACTTTTTTTTGTAATCTCGATCCCCATTGTTTAACAGACTCGCCTGATTTTCTAGCATTGGGATCTTTTACTACTTGAAATTGCGAATCTAAATTAGACAAGAGTTCAGAGCTAGAAACTGGCACAGTTGCTTGTAATATATTTCGAGGTGCACAAGAGTACTTTCTTTCAGTTAAATGATACTTGAATTTTTGGTTTGTTGCGAATGTATTGCCACATCTTGAACAAGGTCTATATCTATATATAGTTAACTGATTTATATATATTACCTTAAATATTCTTTTCTTTAAATTTAAATTTTATCCTATATAGTCTAACTTAAGTATATAGAAGGTCATCAAAGAGCCAAAAAACATGTTCTTTGCACTTTCTGTGTGAAGCTTACTGCCTCTGCTTCTGGCTATTGCCAGGCTCATGTTGGTGGGTTTTATGTTTCCCAATATATTGCTCGACTTAAAAATACTCTCCGATAACTCACTGCACTTCATTTGTTCATGATTGGAATGGATTTCGAAGACTCAAACTATACAAGAAAGCAA